CCTCTTCCTCCTCCTCCTCCTCCGACTCGGGATCTTGCTGTTACATTTAACATGGACTCCAACAATATTATCATTATGTACTACAAACATGTACTAATAAAAAAGAAAAAGTGTAAAAAAAAGATACTAAGTGTTCATATATCCATCAGTTTGATTTTCAGTGAAACATTTCAGAGAATCATTAGAATCCCTTGCAGAAGTCAGTGTAGGGCCTAAGACCACAAGCATTTCTTGTAGAAATCGTTAGAATGGAAAGATGTTACCTTCACTTTGTATTTGCCTCTTCCTAATTAGCACCTGCCAGTTTCGACAACTCTGTGAAACAATGAGTTGTAACTGAACTCTGTCTAAATTCTGCCTCTCCTAACTGCTAACCTTTTCACATAACTAACTTCTTTTTCCTCCTCACTCATGATTCTTTTTTGTTGTCTTTATTTTAAAATTTTAAAGAAATGCTGCACCTGAAGGAAATGTGGGGAAAGTTTAAAGATTAAAAAAAAAAAAGCCATGCATTATTCCCTTACCCAGACATCATTAGTTCTAATAACAGCTGTTGGCTTTGCTTTACTTTGCTTCCGTTTCTTTTCTAAATGGAGAGATTTTAAAATGTACTTATTTACATTTTTCTCATATTGCATGCAGTTTATGAAAAGTTTCATCGATAAAACTTTATCCATATTTACAAGTATTTTTTTACAATTTTTAAGAAAAAGAGTCACGGTATATAGTTATTTTAAGATTATTTCTACATCTTGCCAAAATGCTTTCCAAAAGGAACAAATCAGTTTAACTTCATACCAGTAATCTACCCAACTACAGTGTTTTATAACAAACTTGCCAGCAGCAATTCTACATTAATAAATATATTAAGGGAATTAGTTTTTCACTTTATCCCCTCCCAGCCCCTAAAGTAGATTTCTTTGGTTCTGTGTGGTTTTTTTCTTCCTTATACTAAAATTGAAAAATAAAGTTGAAAATATATTTTTAAAAAAAGAAAAGGGGGAATAAAGTGTTCATTTATTAGGAGTTGTTTCAGTGATTTCAGTGTGCCCAAGTACACTGAATTTAGTAAATCATTTCCCACAAACCATTTTTTAATTAAGTTTATTGGTACGATTTAGATATAAATAATGATCACTTTCGTCGTATGGAATTTGTACCTGCGCATGATGTATCTTGATTCTTATTTTTCCCCATTTCCTGCCCCTCCCTTCAAATCCCCTTCCCCTCCTTATTTACAGAAGGTTTATTTCCATTATATCTTTCATTCCTCGTTTTTTGTTTTCTTTACCCTTCCTTCCTTTCCCTCTCTCCCTTCCCAAGTACCCCTTCCCATTTGAACCTTATCTCTCAGTTTTACAATGTCTATTATACATTCTGGACATTATTTACATTTTCAGTTTCTTATACCAGCAAAGCAATGCAATATTTACACGAGTGTGTCTGATTTACTTCACTTAACAATAGGGTCTCAAGTTGCATCCATTTACCCATAATGCCTCAGGTTTATCCTTCTTTATGGCTGAGTACTACTCCATTGTATAAAACCACCACATCTTTATGTATTCGTTGGTTGATGGGCATTTGGACTGTTTCCAAGATTTACCTATTACAAACTGTGCCACTATAAACTTGGTTTGCAAATATCACAGCAGTGTGATGCTTTTAATTCTTTTAGGAAGATACCAAAAAGGGAGATAGCTGGGTCAAATGGAACCTCTATTCCTAGTTTTTTGAGGAATCTCCACAGTGGTTGCCCCAGTCTGCACTCCCACCAACAGTGGAGAAGGATTTCTTTTTCCCCACAACCCCATCAGCATTTGTTATTGGTTGATTTCTTCATAATAGCAATTCTTCCTGGGGTGAGGTGGAATCTCAGTGTTGTTTTAATTTGCATCTCTTGAATGACCAGTGATGCTGAACATTTTTTTCATATATTTATTTGTCATTTGGACTTCTTCCTTTGAGAAGTATGCATTCATCTCAGATGCCCATTTTTGGATTGGGTCTTTAAATTGGTTATCTGTTCACTCTGTTGGTGATTACTTTTGCTGTGCAAAAGATTTTAAAAGATGAGATCCCAATTGTTAATTCTTTGTAATATTTCCCACGCAATATGGGTTTTGTTCATAAAGTCTTTGCCTATACCTATGTCTTCAAGAGTCCTACCTATTCTCTCTTCTAGCAGATTTAGTGGTCCTGTTTTAGTATTTAGATCTTTGATCCATTTTGATTTTAGTTCAGTGTATGGTGAGAGACATGGGTCCAGTTTTAGTCTTTGGCATGTGGAAAGCCAGTTTATCCAGCACCAGTTATTAAGGAGACTATCTTTCTTCCAGTGAAGGTATTTAGCCCCATTGTAGAAAATAAGGTGGCTGATTGTGTATGGAGTTGTATCTGCATCTTCTAATCTGTTCCACCGATCCTTGGGTCTGTTTTTGTTTTTTACCAGTACTGTGCTGTTTTTATCATAATAGCTCTGTAATACAATTTCAAGTCAATGATTGTGATGCTTCCTGCCTTGACTTTGTTGCCCAGAATTTTTTTTGTTGTTGTTGTTGTTATTGTAGATCTCTTCTAGTTTCAAATGAATTTTAGGTGTATTTTTTTCTAGTTCTGTGAGGTATGCTATTGGTATTTTTATTGGGATTGCATTAAATCTGTATAACAGTTTTGGGAGTATGGCCATTTTTACTACCCACGAGCAAGGGATATCTTTCCATTTTTTGATGTCCTCTTCAGTCTCTTTTTTTCAGAATATTGTTTTCAGTATAAAGGTCCTTTACTTCCTTTGTTAGATTGATTCCTAAGTATTTCTTTTTTTCAATCCTATTGTCAAAGGAGTGGTTTCCCTAGTATGTTTTTCAGTAAATTTGTTATTTGTGTACAAGAATGCTATTGACTTTGGAGTGTTGACTGTACCCAGCTATCTTTGTATCCAGCTATGCGAATGAATTTGGTTATTAAATCTAGAAGTCTTTGGTGGAGTTTGTGGGGTCTTCTATGTAGAGTATATGTCATCTGCAAATAATGATAGCTTAACTTCTTTTCCTATCTTTATTCCTTTTATTTCTTTCTCTTGTTTAATTGGTCTGGCCAATGTTTCCAGAACTATGTTGAACAGGACTGATGATAGTGGGCATCCTTGTTTTGTTCCTGATTTTAGAGTGAAAGCTTTCAGTTTTTGACCACTTAGTATAATGAATGTTGGCTGTTGGTTTATCATACAGAGCTTTTATCAGATTGACATGTAACATTTTTCTCATTACCCTGGAGTTAAGAGTTTTGAGAAGACCAAGGTGGTAAAACACCATCATATTAAGGTACAGTCATTAACACAACTTATCACTGTTGATGTGACTCTTACCATCTAGCAGAAGAAGCAACTCTCAGATTCTATATTATGAAGTCACTCCTGTCCCCATTTGCTTTCTGGACCCTGTGGAAGGAAGTCACCATGCGCAACCCGCACTTCAGGGGTAAGGAGTCATGTCTACCTCCCGGAGAGCACAGCATCTCCATGAGTCTTTGGAACTGGGCATTGCAGAATTATCTGTGGTCTCCTAGTTATTCATTTATTCAGCCATTTATTTCCATTACTGTGGATTCATGGATGCTTACTTACACTACACTCTTGGTTATGGCTCAATACCATTTTTTTTTCCAGTACCGGGAATCGAATTCAGGACCTTGCACTTGCCAGGCAGGTGCAAGGGGCGCCACTGAGCTAAATCCCCAGCCCACGCTACACGTTATTTTGTTGTTCAATTTGTTCCAGCTTTGACCATTGGGAGCTCTTTCAGATGGCTCATATATCCCTTTAATATGCCCCAATATTGTAGGATTTTTCTCAAAGAACTTCCTTAATTTGCAGCAGGGAAAAATGCTCTGAGCTCATTTTATCTATTTCCTGCCCTGCTCTAGAATCAGCCATTTCTCTAAATGAGCACTGGTTCCTTTATTGGACAATGGTGTCAGAAATCAAGGTCTGGGCACTAGATAACCACATCTATCTTATTGTTCCCCTCCACTCTTTGTTCCTGCAGCCACCAACGATGCAGTAAATTAGTAGCTGACCACATGACTGCTTGGCTTCCCAGTTCATGGGGGACTTCTAACATTCAGGATGCCGCTGTGTAGTTACTTCTTGGTCCCTTTGGGAAGCAGCACTCAACATACACTTCAGCCATGGAGGCCAAGGACAGCTGTAAACTGAAGGTCAGATGGCATTGGTTAAGCCAAAAAGCCTCTCGTGGCAGGGGTTCTTTGGGTTGTTTGGCCCATGGGTATTCCTTGGGGAAGGTTGCTCTCTACAATCAGGAAACACTTTCATTGGAGAACAGAGAAGACATGGACAATTAGATCCCCAGCTGTTTAAACAACTAGTGATAAATGTCTCCGGGTCAGCCAGGAGGTGGTCCCTAGCGTGCTCCCAGAGAGATCCAAACTTGTTGTGCAGTATTTGCATCAGCGGCTTAGGTGGAGCTGGAGAAACAGGCTTCTCAGATTTGCATATGCTACGAAACTGTGAGCTAATAGGAGAAAGACAGAGGAGGAGGCCACATAGCCTAACCAGCCACATGGAGGCTGCAAACAAGATGAAATGTTAACAGGGTAAAAGTGCAGTTGTATAGTTAGGCTTTCTTTTAATCCCTTGCATAAACACAGGGTAGAAATAATAACTGGGCACCAGCTCAGGTGAAAAATATCTGAGGATTTTCATTGTGTGCAGTCTTCAAGTGAGCCAGCAGTGTGCCAGGGCGGCAAAAGAGGGGGGCCAATTTGAGCTGGTGTTGGGTTCCCTGGACCATGTCCAGATCCAGGGCTGTCACCATCCCCATTGGCTCTGCTGGCCAGGCAGCAACAGGACCATTGCTCTCATTTCTGAACACGCATTTTTACAGTTTTTAAAAACTTTTAGTTGACACAAAGTAATTGTACATAATTGTTGTATGATATTTTGATATATTTATAAATGTGGAATAATCAAATCAGGATAACTGGGCATTTCAATCTCCTCCAATGTTTATCCCTTCTTTATGTTGAGTATATTTTTAAAAACTCTCGTCTAGCTATTTTGAAATACATAACAGCCAAGTGTGAAGACACACCTATGTAATCCCAGCACTTAGGAGGCTGAGGCAGGAGGATCACCACAAGTTCAGGGACAGCCTGGACTAAATAGTAAGTTCAAAACCAGACTGAACTATACAGCATGGCCCTGTCTAAAAAAAAAAAAGAAAGAAAGAAAGAAAGAAAGAAAGAAACCAAAACAAATAAGCAAATAAGACAATGAATGATCCCTGGTATAAAAAAAATGAAATATATAATAAATTATTGATATCTATCGTCATCCTCCTATGCTATAGAATACTATAGTCCTCCTAACTGTATTTTTGTACCAATTAACCAGCCTTTCTCTGTCCCCCGCTGCCCTTCCCAGCCTCTCATAGCCACTACTCTACTCTCTACTCCTATGAGGTCATTTTTCAAATTCCATATATGATGAATGAAAATGCGCAGGATGTCTTTCTGCTAAGTGCCACATTTTAAACAAAATATAGACCAAAAAACTATATGTCCAAAGGCAGACAACTAGAATAATGGATAGAACCATGCTATTCTGTGATGAAGGAGTGAAGGAATTAGAGGTGGTCCAGCCCTCAGAGAGAAGCTAGGGTGAGCTGGGGAGGAGGGAGCCGGCTGTCTCTGCGCAGCCTTATAAGGTGGAACTCAGAGCAGTGGGAGCAAGTTACAAGGTGGCAGACTGCATCTGAAGAAGAAAGTGCTTCCAAGCCAGGGGTGGTGGCACAGGACTGTAATCCCAGCACTCAGGAGGCTGAGGCAGGAGGATCGCTGTGAGTTTGAGACCAGCCTGGGCTACATAGTGAGTTCTAGGTCAGCCTCAACTACATAGTGAGACCCTGTCTCAAAAAACAAAACAAAACAAACAGAAAGAGAAAGTGTTTCCAGTCATCAAGAATAGCCAGTAGTATACACAGTGAGTTCCAGGTCAATCTCAACTACACAGGGAGACACTGTCTCCACAAAAAGAGTAACCAACAATATCAGAGACCTCTGGAGCAATCCACTCCACACAGCGGCTCCTAGGTCAGCCAAGGCTGTGAGGCTCTGAAGATGGTCAGAAAGTTGGTAGACTTTGTCACTTTATAAATCCAGCCACTTCCTAGCTGCAGAAATATTTATGGGATTGATGTTTGGGCAGATTTGATAGCTTTTAATTTATGACTACTACAGTAGTGATTTGCTTTTTCTTTTGTAGTATTTTTCTCTTGTTATTTTCCGACCTCCTCAGTTTTTAGAAAAGCAATTCAAGAAACCATCTGAGAGGGTATAGACTCCCAAAACCATAGTTAAAGGTCATTAAATGGTTAATTATAAAGTACCAAAAAATGTCATTTTGCTGAGCAAAACATTAGCTCTGTTGGTAGAAACTATATTGTACATAATGGAAATAATTCACTAATGAATGATAGACCAGGTCTCTCTGGGTCTCTCTCTCTCTCTCTCTCTCTCTCTCTCTCTCTCTCTCTCCCCCATAACTGCAGAAGAAACGAATGTGGCCGGTTTCCCAGTGTGTTTTCTTTCCATTTACATCTGTGTGCGTTTCCCAGTTTGGGGCCACCTGTTCCTGCCCAGCTGGGAGCAGGCAGTGTACTCGGGAGCCCCAAGCCCGTCACGCTGTCCTGACACTCGGTGGTACCAGGGTGGTGGCTGGCCTGGCCGTGGGAATCCTCCTGCGCCTCTGCACAGCTGTATGTTCTAAGTCACCGGAGCGAAAGATGTTTCCTAGGAAAATGCATTACGTTGTTAGACCAGAACGCCTGTCAGTTCCTCACCGTGACTGTTCTCACAGCTTGCAGGCCAGTGTCTGTGCAAAATAGGCTACGGTTGCTGTGGTGAGTGCAGGGAGAATTATCACGGGGATAACTGTTACCGCTCGGGGATGCCTGTGGAAGTACTGGTTTTCTTAAGTACGTATGCACCGCCAGCTGGCCCCGGCATTACGGACCAACTTAGTTTCAAATGCTTTTATTTGACTGTTGTCTTCAGTCGTTTGGGCTTAGTGGGTAACTCAAACGTTTTGTCCTAGTTTGGGTTTTTGTTTGTTTTTGGTACCAGGGATCGAACTTGGGACCTTGCACTTGCGAGGCAGCTGCAGCACCACTGAGCTAAATCCCTGGTCCTGTTCTAGTTTTGAAAGTAATATTTTTGTAGCTCCACAAAAATTATTCGTTTTCTCTTATACTAAAATCCTGAATCATGTTAGCCTGTATTAATGTTTGTAGCCTCTATTAAAACCCTTAAAAATCATTACAGTGGAACAGACTCTATGATCATGGCTTGTAGCCAGCTGTCTGCTCTTTAGACACATTTGAGGAAAATCAGCCCCTCTGACTGAGGATTTAGCTCAGTGGTGCTGCTGCCTTTCTCACAAGCTCAAGCACACACACACACACACGCACACACACGTGCGCACATGCACACACATGCACACACACGCACACACGCACGCACACGCACACACACACGCAACGCACATGCACATGCACGCACACATGCATGCACACGCACACACTCAATGATGTGAACTGAGACAGAAGCTGGGAGGGAGACTGGAGGGAACCAGGGAGCGGTCTCTCCAGACTGCGATGTCCCTTTCTGACCAGCATTCGTAGAATTCCTGCTTGGTCCTACAGGTAGTGAACAAGCAAGGGGACAGCCCTGTCCTGTTGGAGTTTGTGTTCCAGGGTCCTTCATCCCATGGGTGAGCCCTAAGTGGGGGACTTAGAGCAGCTCTGGATGGTAGAACTTTCTGCAGTGAGGGAAATGTTCCACGCCCCACCATCCAAGGCAGGAGCCACCAGCCCCAGGAAACGTCGAGCACTTCCATGTAGGTGCAGCAGCTGTGGAGCAGAATCGTGTGCTTGTGTGCTTTATTGTACTTATTTAAACTTAAATTGTCGTGTGTGGTTAGTGGGTACCATATTGGATGGTGCAAATGTAGAATCTGGGTTGGTTCTAGGAGGCAGAATTTCCCAATCTCCATTTAAAGTCAGCGTCCAAGCCAAGTCGATCCAAAATAGAGTCAGATGTGAAGGGTTTATGGTCACGGTCACCTCTACATCCCCCCAAAGGTAACTAATTTGTGTTCTTCATTCCCACACAATGTGGCTAAAAACTTTACCATCATTCCTCCTCCTCCTCCACCACCACCACCCCCGTCCCATTTAAATGCGTGTTCTTAATGATTTTCTCCAGGCCGTGTTGGACTCAGTTTTCTAATGTGAGTTGCTAGTTTCAAATCCAGGGAGAGGGGGCCAGAGTCATCTCAGCAGTGGAGCACTTCAGCCTCCAGCACCAAAAATCAGAAGAAAAATAAAAGCAAGGGAGGATATTGCTCTTGGAAAATCCGTGTCCCGCAGCCTCTTCTCCTATGGCCCTCTAATATTTTAATCTTGTTTCCTAAAAATGCTTTTATCTTTTATAGTGAAGCAAACGGAGGAGTGTAGCGAGGTTGCTGGGTCAGAGCAGCCATTGCACAGATCTCTGCAGTCACGGCGTTTTCAAATGATCACCTTCGGAATACGAGCTGGGAAGATTCTTGGCAGCGAGGAGAGGGCTTTATTTTTGAGTAGCCGTGAGCAAAAGACCAGTGACAGTCTGTGTTTCTTTGCACTTCCTTTTCAGCGTGCAACTGCAGCAGGGAGGGAACCCAGAAGCCCTTCTGTGACCCCGTCACAGGCGCGTGCCACTGCCGGGAGGGAGTCAGCGGCCAGCGGTGTGACCGCTGTACCCGGGCCGCGGCTGGGAATTCCCTACTTGCCTTCGATGTCACGTGTGCTTCGATCGGTGCAACCTCGTCACTTCTTCCCTCTCCGAAGCAGCGCAAGGGTTGATCAGACTGGCAGCTAGTGTGGAAGTCGGCTGTGAGGCTGGTTCCAAAGGCCTCGGAAGAGAGCATGGCTGACATAACGAGGATTTTGGAACATCCTGTTTTCTCATCGGGAGAACTCCTAGAAGTCAAGGATTACCATAACTCTGCGAGGTAAGGTTTGTGCTCCGGTGGTAGACAAGTCCTGATTTACCTCGAAAAAAAAAAAAAAAAAAAAAGCACTGAAATATCCCAGGAAGTTGAGTAAAGAGGAAAGGTGTGAGCTATACACAGAATAATAAATTAAATTGTGTACAGGATCCCTTCCCACTGGAGGCTCCTAATAATAAGGGCAAACTTGTGAGGCATACTCTTCTCACCAGTGTATCAAATGTAATAAAAGCTTAACCATGGTTACTCTCATTTTCTCCAACAGGAAACAGATCATGCAGCTAAGTGAACAACTGAAAATAGTGCATGAATTTCAAGATCTGGCAGAAACCACAGTAAGACTGAGGAATGAAACGGATCTCTTTCTTGAATACCTTCAGCAGGAGATACATTTGCAATCCAGTGCCCTGAATGCAAGCTTCGTGGGTAAGAGAGGCAATGCACTGGCTCTGCTTAGAGCTTGGCAACCTCCACGGTGCGCTCCATGAATGACTCTCACGTGCTTGCCATCATGGTGCCTGAGCACCTTAGAACACAAACACACACACACACACACACACACACACATTAGAGGCACTGTCTGTACATGGCTATGTCAACTTCTCAAACACTGCAGAGTCTAGATAGCATTTACTCAAAATAACAAATAAAGGTCAAATGTCTAATACTAAACAAACACTAAAACCCACGGTAATCTAATACCAAACTTCATGACTAGTCTTGAGTAATCAGCAACTTAGAAATTCTAAGGAGGCCCAAGCAATGAGAAAGATACATTTCTGTGCCTTCCTGGGTAGAAGCCACTCTGTTTCCAGCAATTGTAAATGCAAAGGAGCATGGGGCAAAAAAGAATTACACACATTTCTCATAGGAACTTTGTAGAAATTGGAGTTGTGCACCATATTAGAAGCTATTAATTCATATTACTTAGTTCTTCAAATTGAATGTGAGCACGCCTGTAATCCCAGCACTCTGTGAAGCTGAAGCAGGAGGATCACAAGTTCGAGTCCAGCCTGGTCAATTTAGTGGCTTGGCAAGACCTTGTCTCAAAATTTAAAAGGCAGGTGGGGGCCTGGGGGGTGTAGCTCAGTGCAGAGGCCCTAGGTTCACTTCCTAGTGCAGAAACAAAACAAAACTAAATAAACAAAGGTGAGCCAATGCCAAAGTCAACTTGGAGGAGAAACGGAAGTCTAAAGCAAAACTTCAACTAGCTTTACCTTCTGTTTAAAATGACAACTGCTATTCCATTTAGAAGTGGGCGACTTGTGACCCCCAGGAGAGTCAACCCTGAGTTCATTCACACTGAATGAGATGTAAAGGGGAAGGTACACACGAACCACGTTGAGACATAGATGTGGGCTGCTTTGCCTAGTTCTATGTGTCGAAACACGTCAGATGCACTTCATCTGATCTTGACTTAGAGAGAGAGAGAAAAAAATAGGCAGCAGTGAGGAGTGCCTAGTTGGCCCGAAGGAATGGTTAAATTCAGTGAAATGAATTTTAGCCAAGATCTATCAATAGAGTTCATAAATGCCATGGAAAGAGTAAAGAATTTAGTCTGATTCCTTCTGAAGTAAGGTATCCCCTGAAGGAACTCAGGGTCCACAGACTTCGCCCAGAAGCAGGTGGCATAAGGAGAACTGCCCGGGCTGGCCCTCTCTGACCAGGCTTTCTTGGTGCCTGCCGCTGTGCGGGGCAGCAGAGCTGGGCCGCGGGTACGACACCTGCCCTTGAGTTTCTCCTGCCCCCATGGGACACGGGGACAAAAACATCCCCAAAATGCATTAGCAGCTGCTCTGGAAGCAGAGTAGCAAGAAGTGAATTCTTCTGGGTTCATGAGGAAAAGCATCAGGGAATGGGTGGCAAATGCAAGGAGTGTTACAGGACAGCGGTAGACCTGCCAGACTCGTCAACGCAGAAAATCATTCCAAGCAGTAGGAACATGTTTTCATTTTTAAGATAAATGAAAGCCTCTGTTAAGAGTACATGACATTGATAAGAACCAGAAAGGTTTAAAAGATAAGATGTGGTTGTCTCATGCCTGGAACCCAACTGTGTAGGGAGCAAAGATCAGGACCGGGGTCTCTGCGTCCTACAATATTCAGGGACAATTTAAGGTAGCAAGATCTAAGGGATTAACTGATTTGCTCAAAGATGTGCCCAGGAAGTAAAAGGGGGAGGCAGGACAAAGCCTGCCCCGTGTATTTAAATGTCAGTGCTGTGTCCCTTTTCAATCCGTCTATCAAAAAAAATAATAATAATTAAAGGGCCAGGGATTTAGCTCAGGGGTTCTGCCACCTTCCTTGTAAGTGCTAGGACCCGAGTTCAATCCCCAGTACCAAATAGTAATAATAATTAATAATAAGAAGAAATAAATCCATGTCTATTAACACTCTATCTGTCCTTCCATCACTGCATGCAAATTTAAGGAATGCAGTGTTGAAATTTTGTAATGAAAGTTAGACAGTAGCCAGATTGTGGCATGATTACCCTAACAGCTGATATATTAGTCGTTTGTTCTCATAAAATTTACCTTATCTCAATTTGTGTTGGTATAGATCGTTCAGAAAACATTAGGAAGTATTATCACATATCATCATCTGCTGAAAAGAAAACTAACGAAACTACCTCCATCATAAGCAACTCTAACAATACCAGGATTGACTTGCTCACCATTATGCATACATTGACTTTAAAAGAAAACTTGTTGGAGAAATTAAAGCGGATTAAAATAACAGATATCCAAATTTTGAATGAAAAGGTAAATATTCATAATGGTATAGTAGAAGACTTTGTGGTTTCTACTTGGTATCCAGACCTCTTCTGTGCTATTTCCCTGTCTACATTTTATTTTTTATTTTTGAATTTGTATGTATAGAGTGTTACATATGTATATATAAAATATATAAATTATATTAATATATCCTGTTATATTATATATGAACAATATAAAAATGCACTCTGGAAAGCTGAGGCAGAAAGAATGGGAGTTTAAACCCAGCTCTAGAGACTTGGTAAGGCCCTGTCTCAAAAAGAAAAATTGGTCCAGGAATTTAGCTTAGTGGAGTTTTTTTAAAAGCCTAAGGATGTATTTCAGTGCAAAGGCCAGGGTTCAATCCCAGTATCAGACAGAGGAGGGGAAGAGAGAAAAAGAGAGAGAGAGAAATTTAATTATATTTTATTTTGATTTCTTAATTCAAGGGTTGATCACAATTAAAGATGAAAGATTACTGTTTGATTTTATTAGGTTATACTTCCAAAATGGTGCAGATTATGGACATTGGCTCTTCCTTCCTCCTTATTAGTAAAAGGAAAAATCTATTTTAAAGTAATAAAAATTAACATGAAAACCTTACATTTTTTCTCCTGGGAGGTGTGCGGAGGACCAGGAAACTTGCCGTGCAGCCTCTCGCCCTGTGGGGGCGCTCTCTGCACGGGCCCCGGCGGGCGCAAGCGTTGTGGCGGGTTTAGCTGTCAAGGCGCCCGGACCCTCGCGAGCGACGCGCTCCGAAAGGCCCAGGAGGCGGAGTCTGTGAGTCAGAACCTGCACAACCAGGCTCAAGGGCTGAAGAACGGGGTAAATAACTAATGTCTTTTGCCTGATTTGCAAGGTTAATAAAGAAGCAACCTGAAGCTTTTAGCAGGGCTCATAAAAGCTTCCAGGTGAGAAGATGATAAGATACTAAGTGTTCCAGTTTCTGAAACACTGGCATTCTGGTAATTAAATATATAGATGTAAATGCAGATTTTAAAGTAGATGCGAATATCCGTGAATGTGTGCATCTGCTGTGTGTGTGTGTGTGTGTGTGTGTGTGTGTGTGTGTTTGGAGGGAGATAACAGTGTATTATCATAAGTCATGGATGAATGGACTTTTAAATATAGTAAACACTACATAGAAATTTCAAAAGTCTTAGTTAGCCTTGACGTTTTGAAAACTGTAGATTTCTCAAAGCAAAGAATAATTTTTCATAAATTCAAGCGAACAGGGCCAGGGATTTAGCTCAGTGATTCTGGCTCCTGCTTTGCAAGTGCAAGGACCCAAGTTCGATCCCCGGTACAAAAAAATAAAAAAATAAAAATCAACTGTAGATTTGAAATTCTACTAACTAGGCACGTGTTAATGCCAGAATTTAATATTAGAAAATATTATAATAGGAATATACTCTCAGGCTTTAAATTCCTTCCTACGTTGACAGACATGATAAAGTTGTTTCAACATTTAAATAACTTATTGAATCTGTAATAATCTGAAATTATTTCATTTACTTTTCTAGCCACATTTATAAGCATCATTTTTAATTACCTAGCTTTCATTAGATTTTGTTGTTCTGGGTTTTGGGGAGGGGGCTTGTTTTCATGGTGCTGGGCATCAACCCAAGGCCTCACATGCTCTACAGCTGAGCTACACCCCCAGCTCTCCCAGGTTTCCCAAGGTGCACTACATTCTCTAGCTCGGAAAACAAGATAAGGACAAGCTTCTTTTTCAACGATACCCACAGAGCTGTGGATGAAAAAAGGAAATGGCTTTAAAGGCTGAGTGATTTTCTTACCAATATATATTGAATATTATATTAGTTTGCAAGCAACAGTTGGCTAATTTCCCAACAAAGGGAAATGGATGCAAGGACCTCTGGGTCTCAGAAGCAAGAGAAGGACAGAAAGCAGGTGTGGTGGCACATGCCTAAAACCTAGCGCTCTAGGAGGCTGAGGCAGGGTGATTGTAAATCTGAGCCCTGTCTGGACAACTTAGCAAGAGTCTGTGGCAAAATT